ATCGTACATAATTCTGTTAATATCGATCGAATAGCCGCAATGTCCGGCGATTGGGAAAAATATCAAATGGGAAATATCGAGTTTCTACACATGTTCAAACGCTTAAATCGTCTTCACCTATCCGGTCACCCGGGCGACTCGTGTCCCAGCTGCGGCTTGCGACCTTTCTGATCCTTTTTGACCACCGATGGACAGCTACGGATATCCAAGCGATGCATCCGGAGCGAGCCACGATCGAAATTGCGTTTAATCGGAAATCGAACAGATCGCTATACAACGCGAATGATTGCATTCATTTAACTTTATGTACAGGGTAGCTGCTTTTTAGAAAGTGTCCTTTCTGTTTCTTAATATCGAATGCTTTCTGAGAAATTTTAGTAAATTAATCGTTTCATTAATTGTATGCTGACTAATGAGAGATCTGATATTATTGAATTTTCATAATACTTTTAAAGTTAAATTAAGCAGATACCTATTCTGAAATTTTTTTCGAATGCAATATTGTTTTTTCGTTTACTTAATAATTATGTTACAAATATTGAATTTATTTACATTAAACAAACCGTAAACTAAAAGAGTTGACTGCCCTTTGCTCAAAGAGACGTTTATCTTCGAACGTTCGAAAAATAAGAATTATTCAGGAATTTTTTCTGGAAAAATTCTACATCGAAAATATATTTCCACCTGGAAAATTTCTCAAAGACAAATTCAACCGAGATTGATTTCAAACTGTCCACATATACTCAATACATGTATATCGAAGACATATACTTCGGATTTTACGAAAATTTAACAAAATAGCGTCAGTACAAATTAGACGTTGTGTTTTGTTCATCGAGAAATCAGCTTTTTACATAAAAAAAGTATTAAATCTTAAAATTTCAAGAAATTCGCGATATATGTCCTCGAAATACATGTATTAAAGATACATGGAGCTACAACTACATTTTCGACTGTAGAAGCTCGTAAATCTTCCAACTGTGTGCATCTCCGTATTATTAAAATACTTATACATCAAAAATGCACCTATTGCAATCACTTTCTTATGTCTAAAAGCGCCGTTGAGACGAAAAGGGTTGAGGAGCGTGATTTATGGGTCGGTGAACGTGGCTTAGGCGCGCGTGTGAAACGAATAGATCGGACTATTTTCGAGTCACTCTGTACTCGCGCTCCGGATTCTCATCTCGTTGGCGGAGCGAGGCAAGGTGAGGTGTGGGTGAAAAGAAAGCAAGAAGGAAAAACGGTGTAAAGTAAATAGGAAGGCGCGTAACGCGTCGCGGCAGCCGCGAAGGGGCGTGCCGCTTCCTCGAGCGATTTGTAGAGAGAAAGATTTGTTCGTTGCCCTTGGTGAACGTGATCCTTGCTCGGGATCCTGCCGGCGGCACCCTTCCGCGGCTCACGTAGCAGCAGCATCGTGAGGATTCTCGCGTCTCCTCTCTGGGGCAGCTGTCGCGACGCAGTGTCGTAAATCTTCCGATCGCACCAAGATCTACGTCGAAACTTTATTTTCAAACTCTTTTTTTTTTCTCAAACGCCGAATTACGACTGTCATGCTTGAGACGAGACGTCGTGTTTGAATTCGTTCGATTAATTACCCAAGTAGACAGGTGTACGTGAATTTGGCAATAACTTTATTAGTCGATTTGTGGAGGTTGTATACTTTATAAGAGTGGTTTATATTTATTACATACGCACAGAAGAGATTACTTCTGGGAAAAAAGCGATTACTTACTTTACTTTCCTCCTTTCAAAGAATGGTTTGACAGAGAATATTTTTTTGACTGTAGTCTTAAGATGCCTGTCGCAAATTTTAGAAAAGCTCATGTACCAAAAGAAGGATTTATTCTCTTCATAGTGTAAAATTTTACCGAAGAAGGATAAGCGAATTTTTGTTAAAATATTCTTGGTTAAAATATTAAATTTACTAGGATTGTATTTTAAATACATTTGATACTTATGATTTGATGTTTGACAGATTCACGGATATACAATTCTAGGTAATTTTGAACAATTAAAGCGTTTGTAAATATGAAATTTAATTAATTATTTTACTATATAATATCCGTGCTTTGGTTCTTATATACTCTACCTAATTCTTATCTGTTTCCATTGTCTTACGTGGTGATAATCATGAAAGTCTATTTGGGTAGGCTCGAGGGGAATACATCGTTCTTCAGGAGTTACATCCCTTTCTGCGAAAAGTAATTGTCTTTGGCAATAATGTGAACAATAGAATCGCATAATTTTATATCGCGGAATGTAGCCGAACTCGTTGGAAGATCGATCAAGTCAATCCGCGAGTCATATGGAAGCGAGCGTACACCATGACGCGCGTACATATGACGGTAGTAATAATAGTAATTCATGAATGGTTCGGTCGCGACGGCCAATAATAGCGCCATCGTAACGGTGGTAGCGATAATTGAATGAACCGCGCACACGTCTTACAACATCCTGGCACGTGCGTAAACAGCTCTTAGGTAATTCAGGACGACGCTTGTCCTCTGATATTCTTATATACGTATTTATGTGTGTGTGTGTGTGTGTACACACACACACACACACACACACACACACATATATATATATATTTAGTATCAGCGCAAAACGTTCGTAAATTATCCTTCCAAATTCAAACGGTAATTCCCGTGAAGTGAAAAATACATTTAACGTCGATTCCCGTTGACTTTTGCCTTACAATTATTCTCCGACCTATACTGCGAAAAAAATTTAATATTTGCTGGTATAATCACATAATAAAATAATTGTAATTGGGAAAACCATTTCTGTAATAAGTGTCACTATAATGTCAGTGATAATATATATATTGTTGTTACTACTTTTCTGTCAGGACAACAAAAAGATATAATTGGCGACAAAAATAAAAATAATTCTTGGTGTGATTTTTTTCTTTCAAAATTGCTGTTGTGACTGTGCGTTTGTTTTTCAGATGCAACTGCCTTCTAGAAGCGCTGAGCTCTTAAAACTTAGCGGCATGAGTGAAACTGACTCGCGCGCGCGTCGCGTTTGCGTCTGGCAATTAAAATTTTTATCAGCGAAACGAAATCCTAGACACCGACTTCCCCCTCTAGGAATAGTTGACGCGTCATCTTTTACAGCGTCATAAAATCCGCGGGACACAGAGAACGGCTTTGTCTCGCGACTCTCGAAAGCTACGCGAACGTAAACGTGTCCAAGAGAATCACAATGTATAGGGCATTGAATTTCTCATAGACGGAAAATAGAGAAAGGAAGGAAATCTTTCGTTTACGTTTACGCTCTCCTTTGTTTATTGTCCCGGCTAATAGCGTCGAGCAATTCGATAGTAATTTGTCCGCGGGCCGTCGAAGCGTTTTACATCTTTTACATGTAAAAAATAGACTTTACCTGGGATTTTTTTATAAAACGTGTTACCTGGGAATTTGTTTTTAAAACGTGTTGTTTTCGAGATATTTTTCGATACATTTTGCGCATTCTGTATATAAGTACAAAGAAATATTAAAAAATAATGTTTGTCAAAAATGTATTTAAAATTTTGAGCGCGTTTTTCTCGAAACCAACGTACAAGATTTCTAGAAGACTATTGAACTGATTGACTTCAAACTTTTCTCATATTTAAAATACATGTATATCAAGCCTATAATATATTACGAATTTTTTGAAAATTTTTTAACTTTTGGTGCATATTTTACGATTGTGTAATACTTGCTACTTTAATGGAAAGTAATCAAAGAGAATTGAGCATTGCAAAACTAAATGAAGAACAAATTACTATATTTTTAATATTAAGATCGACTTGTTTAATTTTCTTTTGAGGCTTTATTCGACCTAACTTTAAGAAGTTTATTCTACATCAATGAATATGTAGATACATGATGTTAAAAGCCAAGAAAAAGAATAGGGGAAACAATTTTCTAACACCTTCCGCATTCAGATTCTTCGGTTAGAATAATTGTGAGATAATTCATTCTCGAAAGAAATATCAATTTCAGCAATGACGGAAGGATGAAGGTTTACTGTGTGTGAAAGATCATGCGGGTACCGTAACACAATATCGAGATAAATTCACTACTGCTCAGCGAACAATTTATCTGCATTCACGCACTCGCATTACACCTGCGATACGATAAAATCAATTCGCGTTTCTGATAAAACAAGAAATTGGATTGATGTGGCAGAGAATACAGTCTTCATCTTTTTGCGTAGCAACTTTTACAGAGTGTATCATTATCGGATTAAATATTAGTCGAAATTGACAGATGCACAATAACGATGCCTGATTACTGTTGTTTCGTTAATTTCTTGTTAAAAGCATATATATTTTAGATATTATAGATATTGAATTATTTGATTGGTTAAAATCGTAGGAAATTCAGAATATCAATTTAGACGATCGATTTAGTAGGTGCTTTTGCATCCCCTTTTCTCACGATAGTGTGAGAAAAGGGTCGTGCATGTATCGATTCGAAAGACGAAGATGTCAATGACGATTACGGAAAATACCTCGTGTGAATCATCAAAGATATCGAAGAGAGATATTTCGAAAATATCGACGAATGCGGGTTAACGTAAATTCCGACTCGAATCGTCACAAATACACGACGTAATAAATGACACGTGCGTTGCTATCTTTTTCTCTTAAGAGAGTTCTAATGCTACCTTCTAGTGAATCGGTATTTTATTAAGAATATCGTTTAAAATGGTTACAAAAATAATTTCCCAACAGTGAGATGAAATTCATAAATGTCATAACAATATGCAGAGATTTTTTTTATTTTAAAAATAACAAAGTAAGATACTCGTTGGATATCGATAAGTGAAAAAAGAAATGAATAAAATTCGTTCTTTTTAACGATTTAGAAACGTTCTTTTGTTAACAATTAGAATTTTTAACGATTAAAAACGTTCTTTTGTTCACTAGAAATATCTTAAAATTTGATATAAAGCATCTACGGGAATTTTCATGTTCACTCGCGTACAAAATCGATCGTTTTACGAACCTTTGCTGACTGTAGACCTCTTAGCAGAGCCCGCGGGGGAAGAAAGGGCAGAAGCAATTAGTCCCCCTAGACAGGAAAGTGATTTCGGCACGGTCGATTTCTCCAAAGACGTGCACTTTTATCGAGTTGGCGATACTTGACACATTTTCGGCGGTGCTTCGAGTTTCCTCGTCATTCCCGGCCCGATTGTCGCCCTGACACTTCGCGCTTTTAATTCTAGCCCGTCGGATCAAAGTCGAAATAAAGTCTGTCGCGAGATCTCATTTTTTTCACTTTTGTCCACTGCGAAATTTTATTATTTGATTAACGTAACATTATACGTTAACGGCTCATTTTAATATGTCAATACAAATCACGATTTACAAATAAAATTTACAAACAATTTACAAATTGTTCACCGCGCACTTTAATACTTTCCACTACATAACTGCAATCGATATAATTATGTGTGTGCGTTATTGTTATATACCGAAATAATTATCCCCGCTAAACTAACAATAATCTTATAGAATTCATTTCTTCTTAGAACAGTCTTTCCCAGTGTAGATCCACATTTAAACAACGCGATTCAAATCGCTATAGTTTTCGCAAGTGAAATGATGTCTCTCCCTTTTCTTTTTCTCCGCATTTATCATGTGCATTTACTTATTGTAATTCGTGCGAATCATACATTTTTCTTTTCGTTTCCATTGGCTACGTTTGTTTCCTCAATCGACGAGATGTTGTTCTCTCGGCAAACTGCTTCTGCTAGTTTTCAAATCTAGTGCACTGATTTTGTTAACGAGATTTTGTTAACGAGATTTACACAGTTGAACGAATAAAAAAAGTCACTTTGTTTAAGAAGACACCTAAATCCCAATCACAGTCTCGATGAGTTTGACATAATCAAACTCCGGAATGTTCGCGGAGGACATAATCCGACACAAAGAGCCTTTACTGTCTTTTCCTTCGTGTTTCCTGAAAGGCTCACATAATTCGCTGTTTCATAAGCCGAGAAAACTATATAGACTTTCGAAGTTCTTTTTCATTATCTCCCGACTTTTCGCCCCAAGTAACTCACCGCACGTCATATAAATCCGCTTCTGAGTAAGACCAGAAGATTAACTCCCAAAACATGATCCTTTGTACAATAACCTTCTCTGTCACCTGCCTTTTGTCCGCGGTGTCAGAATTCGCAGCAAAATCCACAGTTTGACAATGGCGAGAAATTGACATCGCTCGATCAACTACACATTGTGGAGTCTTCGCATACAACGTTTACCGTACACAATTCGAGACAGTGCAGTATCACGAGACAATTCGTACAATGCAGTCTCGTTCCTCTTGGATCTTGCATGACGCTTAGATGCTTGAGCCATCTTGCATAATGCCGAATTGCAGATAACTATTAATTGCACGCTCGCGATTTCCGAGCGGTAATCACGACGCGTTCTTCCGCCGGCGGTACCGGCGGAAGTACCAGCACAAGTATCGCGGCGGAGATACTGCTGAAAGTACAGCCGACAACGCAGAACGGCCACTCCAGACATCAAGATACGCGGCCGAGATCTCGATTCTTCGGCCGACGAGTCCCGCACGCGTGTACGCACCTACGTGATCAATTGGTTGCTTTGTGACCGTAACACGTGTGCTTCATTAAACGGCACCGCGCGTATTTGGGCGTACAACTAGATGCACCGTGCACGCCGGACTCCCCACCAACCATGGACCAACAGCAGTCGGTCGGATCTGTCGCCTCTGCTCTCACCTCCCGCTGCGCGCCTCTCTCCTTCGCACCTTCATACATCTCCCTCCTTCCCCTCCCTTTTTCATTTTCTCACTCTCTCCCCTCCCCTCTTTTTCTTTCACACGCCTCTAGTTTCAAGGGAGAGAAAGAGAGAGACAGAGAGTTGGACGCGATGTACATTCTTATTATTGAAAGGGTTGTATCTATCTATACGTCTCGGTATATCGTCATCCGTCATTACTCTCTCTCTCTCTCTCTCTCTCTCTCTCTCTCTCTCCATCGATGAAGTCACGTGTTTACGTATATATTATTGCTTATACATTGCTATATATTTTTTCCACAATTTGTTCCTTAACAGCTTTCGTTCTTGGAAGAAATTTCTGCCGCTTTCTCGCTTTGGAATCCTCATCTTGTTCTCTGCTTCGTTCTTTCTACACTGTCCTCTGTAAAATGTGCGTGTAAGCGACACGCAGTCGCACAAGGCTATAACTTTCACTCATGTACCGCACCAGAACGAAACTATATTCCTGGATAACGCCTCTCGCTTCTCATTGGTGCAAACTCCACGACTTCGACCACGCCCACATATCTATGTAGACATCCCCTCCATATCTGCGAAAATTTATAATATATATATATCTGTGTATATATATATATATATATATAAATATATATATATATGTATATATATATGTATATATATATGTATATATACTTTACGGATTTCCCTCTGCGTCTCTCCGACACACTTCTCCACTTTCGTATCACCCCGCGAGTATCTTCTCGATTTCGCGCTCATTTTTAATAAGGGGATGCTTTAACGCAAGACCGATCATAGATTTTAAGAGCGATGAGTTAGAACTTGCTGTTGCAAATTTTCATTGAACCCAACTTAATTCTCGAAATTAGAGGAGAATATAACAAATATCGGAACTTATCCAGACTGTACTTTTTATAAATTCATATTTGTATGAGGCACTTAACACTAAATGTAACTAAATCATAGAAGTTAGTAAATCATAGAGTTACGTTAAATACAACTGGAGCACTAAGACAGGTTGATACAATTCTCAGAATTTCGACATGAAAATTTTTCAGAGAAATAACTTTCGTGTATATGTCTTTCTACCAGGAATGATCCTACAAGCTATGTTGCGCATTAATCGATTCTTCCACTGAAATAATTGGCAGATAAACAATAAAAATTAATCGATCGTTATATATATAATTAAGTATAAAATTTCGTTAATTGATAAAATTAATTATTAATCAATATATAATAAATTATATTAGTGTGATTAAAATTTGATTAATAATTTCATCGATGAAATTGATAAAATTGTAATTTTATATATGATGATTAATTAATTTTGAAGATTAATTGATTTGCCGATTATTTTGGTCAAAGAAATCTTTAATCGATTAATAACCAACATTAGTTGCAAACCGTATCTTTTTTTGCCAACCAAAATATGAAATATCGATCTCATTCGTAATCAATCTATTTCATCCGTTGATATACTTGAACATTTATTATTACAAATTATTTTTATTACACACGTAAAAACAAAGTAATATCATTCAGAAAACTTCATTCTAACATATCATTTCAGTTTATATACTCACAATAAAGGATATAAATACGAAATTTCTGCTTTTAATAAAGTTTTAAGGACAAGTACCAATGTTCTGAAGGAAAAAAGCATTTTGCAATTTCTTTTCGCAATAATTACGTAATCAACCTATCTCTTGGGCAACCCCGCCTTCTAGCTGACTCTATTTATTTATACAATTATCACATTCCGTAGTTTACAGACACGTTTGTAGTCTTCAGCGCATTTTTCATGCTATGTTAAACACAAAAATATGTTGCTTCTCTCATAATTTTCTTTTGATTTTTATATATCTGTCTTTGTTATTTGTTTTTATTTATCATATTCACACTTATCTAATACTGGAGCAAGAATTAAATTTTTACGGACCCTTTTTTCTTTTTATAAATTTCACTGACAACGTTTTCATGTTTTCGTAGAACTTGCGTTTACAATGTTACCATAAAAGATATTTTCGGACATGTTCGGATATCCTCAGATGTCACTTAACAACAATAATGTAAACATTTACTCCACGTATGATAAAAACGAACAATAGAGAACATTTCTTTGCAAAAAATTCCTTTAATTAATGATTACGCTATAATAGACAGGCACACAATTTTTACAAAATTTTCGAGCCTTTTCTTGCAGAAGTATGAATGTTCATATAGCCAAAATCCACGAAATACCTTTGGCAATTATTCGGATAACACAATAAAATCTGATATGATATTTATTTAAAATCATACCATCCTATACAAAACAAATGTCCAAAATATATCCTAGAAATATCCCAAAGATGTTAAACATTTTTGGGATCTCTCTGAGATATATTTTGAACATTAAAAATAATTATAAAAGGAATTTAAACGAGGAATTTTATATAAGCTGTTATTAATTAGAATTATATTACGTTTTTGTTATGCTTGCAATTTTTCGTTGCAATAAAATATTAATATTGCATCATGCTATCTGAAAATAAAAAATTTCGATTTTGATTTATAAGTAGAAACAGTAACGTAGACTTTAGAACTGTATATATTAAAATTATTAGTACTATTAATTATATTAATAATATTTGTTAGAAAAGTTTGTCTCTTATGTCAATTAAATAAATCAAATACAAGCCGAGTATATTCGGGTGTAGACTCGTGTACATACATCTATGGACAACTATTCGTGCTGGACTACATTTGAAAATGTCACCCCAGTGCTCTCTCTCTCTCTCTCTCTTTCTTTCTCTCTCCCCCCCGCCCTCTCTTCCTCCCTTCATTCCCTTCTCTTCCTCTCTCTCCCTCTTCCTCTTCCATTCCTTCCTTCCTTTAAGACGATTATAAATAATTATGAATAAAATTCATTTATTTATAATAAATAAATAGAATAAAGTAAAATTCTTTTATTTATAATCAATTGATGATTATAAATAAAAGAACGAACTATAGGTGCGTTCGGGGAACTCGCTATTAGCACTATTCAGTGCTACCGTGTCATTCTATCCTTGTTACATATCTAAGGAACGATAAAGATAGAAGAACGCGGTAGCGTTGGTAACGTGTTCCTATGATTCTAGCTTTATAGAGAATTCACATTGTCTCCAATGTACGACATGTAAAGAGTCATCTACAATAGAGAATCGTACGCCGCAGCAATAAGAAATTGACTTATCACAATTGATTATTCTTGTAAAAATCCAGTATGATTGGTCAATTTTTTACTGCTACGATTACTGGACGTGTATATCTGTCCTTTCATCTTGGCTTCACTCTGCACAAACCGCGCAGTCTAGTATCTATTGAAAATCTCTCTCGCGCGCGCAGAATTTTGACGAAAACGCAATCGTAGTCAAACTCTGATTAGAGTAATTCTACCCAGGTCGAATATTTTATTAGTATATTTCAATAAGTAGAAGGCAGTATTAGGCTGAGTTCCCACTAAGCGTATCACGCGTCGCATCACAAGTTAACCAATCAAATCGACGCGACGCGCTACGAACAACGCGCTTGTTCCAATGGAACGATTTGATTGGTTCTCGAACGCATGGACTGTCTCAGCTCTGAGGTAGTGCAGCCCATACGCTCTCATGCGTTCGAGAACTAACCTAACCTAGGTTCGAGAACCTTACCCGAGTGCTCTCCCTCTCATTTTATCTTACTCTCGTATCTCTGTCACTCTAACGCTGCGTTTCATGCGCATCATGCGTGGAAACGGAACGCACTCTTAACCGATTGGTTATTCCAACTGAATTGACCAATCATATCTGTCAATTCTGATTAAGGCTCCTGGGGAGTCGCATCATCCATCTCTTTTTAATGACGTCAGAAGCGAGAAAACGCATGCTAAAAATTCCTGCAAAATACGTCGAGATAAACAGATATATCCATAAAACGACATTTGCGATCGATTAAGTACACCTCTAAAATACTCCGTACACTTTCCTTTTGTTCTAACAATCAACAGATAATTATAAAATAAATGTGACGTGCAATCGTCTTTTTTAACCTAGTTTCCTCATTATCTTGTCATATTAATTTCCCGATTATCTATTGATTTTTAGAACAAAAGGAAAGTGTACGGAGTATTTTAGAGGTGTACTTAATCGATCGCAAATGTCGTTTTGTGGATATATCTGTTTATCTCGACGTATTTTGCAGGAATTTTTAGCATGCGTTTTCTCGCTTCTGACGTCATTAAAAAGAGATGGATGATGCGACTCCCCAGGAGCCTTAA